GGGGTACTATGTAAAAAAACTTGAAAATCGTCAAAAAATACCGTCAAAATGTCATCTTGCAGACTACGTAGCTTTTAGTGTCTACATTCCACGTTTGGTCGCTATGATCCCTGTGAGCGTCATCAAAAGCGTCCATCTATGAAAGAATGACTCAACGATACGTCACGCTCAAGCATGCATTGTTGGTTGCACAAAGCCAAGTAGTGTTTATTCTGAGGAGATGCGAAAGAAAGATAGTTGTTGACTAGCAAATCGCATTTGGATGATTATGTGTATTGGCCTGTCTCCATGCGTATAAAATCAATTGTGAGAAAATTATTACTGAATGTGCTGCTAATGAAGTATATGTATTAGCTGTACCCGACGGGTTATTTTTATATATTCTCCTTTCTGAAGGCAGGTTATGTTAAAAGTCATAAATTTGTCCCGTTTTTTTTTTTGTGTTTTCAAAAACTTTGAGGAGAATTACGAGAAATCACCACCGCGCCCGCTTTGTGTGTAAATTACTGTTAGCATGTATGTGACTTGTAATTGGACAGTGTACAGCGAATATAATTGCAATACGTGGCAGTATGTAAGTATAAAAGATAAGAGTCCACATAAAGTTAATTTCTTCACCAACCAGGGATGTTCTTTTTCATTCCGTTCATTTTTGAAATTCAGCAAATTTGCGTATATATTCTCCAGAATGAATAACAAGAGTGGATGCGCAACTAGTTTTTAGCTTTGAATACATCTCAAGTAAGTGTATTTGAGACAAATCCTCACTATGCACCAAAGCACTGCCATTTCCTACAAAATGTCAAAAATACTGACAAAATGTCACCTTTCAGGACACGTAATACCGTGTCGATCTGAAATGTGCGAAATAGTATTTCGTCATCCAAATTGAACCATGTCGCTTGTCCTGTAAGAAAATAATATGACATATATTTGTTGTTGGATCTCCAAACGCACAGATACCTATTTTACCTCGCCATCTCAAGGCTAACTTGTTTTTTTTTTGGCATCTTCGGGGCTATGGACGAGGGTGACATATCTGGTAAATTTAAATAATCAACAGTTAACCTCATCCCCGCTTGTCATTTTGGAGGGTTGGACGTCCTTTTTTGGAAGCGGTAATGCCTAGCCCCAGACTGTCCCTTGCTATACTAGGTTTTGCTTTGTACTATCTTGAAATTTGGAATGATGACTTCGCGCAATCTACGAGGGCGGTTCAATAAGTACCCGTGTTAGAAATGAAGACACCATTTTTCCTAAAAATTTCTTTTTATTTTCCAGCACAATTCCCTTTTGGAAAAATACACTTTTCTCACCGTTCCTGCCATTTTTTAACCGCCCAAAAATTAGGATTTGTCAAACTCTCCAAAATACGCCTATGTTTCGGCGATGACTTCCTCGTTTGAGCTAAATTCTTCACCGCAAGCCATTTCTTCATCTCAGGGAACAAGAAAAAGTCGCAGGGGGCCAGATCAGGTGAATACGGAGGGTGCTGCGGCACTTCATAACGTAATTCATGCAGTTTGGCGGCGAAAACTCCGGATGAATGTGCTGGTACGTCATCGTGGTGAAACAGCACCTTCGTTTTTGTCAAATGTGGCCGTGTCTCATTAAATTTTTTGTCGAAACGGTCCAATAACTCATTATAGTATTGTCCAGTGATCGTTCTTCCTTTTTCTAAAAAATCCACGAGGATGACGCCGTCCGCATCCCAAAAATTCGTCGCCATGACCTTTCCGGCCGATAGAACCGTCTTCGCCTTCTTTGGAGCAGTTTCATTTCAATCCAGGTTTCATCGACGGTGCCAACACGACGCAAAAACTCCTTCGGATTTCGCTTAAATTGCTCCAAACACTGCTTCTAGGTTAACAGCCTCATCCGCTTGTTTTACACCGTGAGCAATCGCGGCACCCATCGGGATGACAATTTTTTCATAGCCAACGTATCATGCAAAATATTGATTGCCATTCCGGTCGACACACCTACGGCCTCTGCTACTTCGCGCACTTTCGTTCGTCGATCAGCGAGAATCATGTCGTGGACTTTTTGAATGATTTCCTCGGTAACCACGTCTGCCGGGCGTCCTGGTCGATCCTCATCAAAAATGGATGTTCGCCCACGTTTAAATTCATTGATTCAATATCTAACTGTGTTCATAGATGGCGAAGTGTTCCCATAAACAGCATCCAACTTTGCTTTCTCATCCAAAAACAAAAAGCGAATTACCGAACGATACTGCTCTTTATCCATCTCAGCGAAAATCACAAAACGTGTTACTCGAATGGCTGCCAAATCCAAACTAACTTATCAACCAGTCTCAAATTTGTTGTACCGTCATTTGATAGATGGCAGCACACGATTATTGTAACCACAGCCGACGTCAACTACGAGCCGTAAACAAAGAAATCTGGCAACGTAGGTGGTAGTGTTACTCCCGCCGCTGCTTGCTGCATCGACGCAAGTCGTGCTCAAAACGTTGAGAAAACATAACCTTTTCAATTTGTGATTTTGGAATCCCAGAGGCTGTAATTAAGAGATAAGCTTGTTTTCTAAGCTTCAAAGTGTGTGTATGTATTCAAAGTGATCGGTGACTATAATATATGAGAAATAGACTCCAGTTGTAGTGCTTCTGTGCTTTAAAAATAAACTAAGAAGTGTGACTGTGGCTGTTTGCGCCTCAGGACGCTAAGGATTTCAACTATTGAAAACGTGCAAATTCAGGTTGTACTTTTCTTTTTTCATTTATCAAGTATTTGACGCAGACAATATGCCTCGTTGTTGCTGTGTTCCTTTATGCAATGCAAACTATAATTCTGCTTTGAAAACAGAAAGCTATGTTTCAACTTTTCGCTTCCCAAGTACCGAAAGTCTGAAAAACAAATGGCTTATGGCAATTCCCAGAAAAAATTGGATACCTTCAAAATATTCAGCTGTGTGCAGTCGTCATTTTAGAGAATCGGATATCATCAGGACAGAAAATATAGTTTTGGCGGATGGAACAGTAAAAAATAGTATACCTTTGAAATATCCAAAATTGAAAGAAATGCTGTTCCCTCCATTTTCCCAAACTTGCCATCATATCTTTCAAAAACTGAAGCACCCAAAAGAACTGACCCAATGCAAAGAAAACAAAAATTAATTGAGAAACATGAAAAAGCTATCCAGAATTTCGATGATATGGATAAGATCAAAGATAAATTTAGTTCAAAAATGTGGATTTGATGTTATTTGTGTTGTTACTGATAATCACCGAATTAATAGAGCAATGTTCAGGAAATTAGCAAAGGATTCATCAGAAAATTATTCTATTCCAAATCCACATAATCCTGATAAGAACATATATTTAACTTATGATGTTGTGCATATTTTCAAGAGTATCAGAAATAATTGGATTAATTTAAAAAACCTAGACAAAACTTTTGTATATCCTAATTTTGACAATAATGATATTATTCAGTATGCTAAATTTGAAAACATTCGTGCTGTATATCAATTGGAAAAAGAAGCTGTAGTTAAGAAAGCATATAAATTAAATTATAAAACATTGCATCCAAATTAATTTGAAAGGCAAAATGTAAATTTTGTAGATAATTTATTCCATCATTCAACAATAGCTGCTATGAAAGAATTAAAGTTTAATGATGCTGCACACTTTTTGGAAATAATCAGGAATTGGTGGGATATTGTCAGTAATACAAGTGTAATAAAAGGAGAATTGAAGCGAAACGAATTTTGTAAGCCTATTTACCAATAAATATGATTATAGAGTACAATTTTTAAAAAAAATCCTGATATGGTTGGAAAAATGGCATAATCTAGAGAATAATAATGGACACCTGACACCAGAAACGTATACAGCTCTATATCAAAGCACGCTGACTCTTCTTAATATAATTGAATATTCATTTAATCAATTTGACATTGAGTATGTATTGCCTGGAAAATTCACCACTGATAATTTAGAAAAACGATTTGGCAATTATAGACTTTTATGTGGCTGCAATTACAATGTGTCATATGATGAAATTTTAAATGCTGAAAAGAAAATACGGCTGAAGCATATTGTCAATGAAAAGAAATCGTCATTTTCTTTAGCAGAAATTAAAACAAGGTGCCAAAAACGGCTTACAAACTCAAGAAAATTTTGATTTCTTGGATAACAAACAAAATCCTGAAGTTTCGGATATATTCAATGAAGTATTTGAGACAAATTACTTAGCCAATTGTGACATAGAGGATAGTACTAAGACTTATATATCTGGATATGCTTCACACGCTATCTCTAAAAACCTAAACTGCGAGATATGCAAATCGCTAATAGTTAAAGAAAAAGGTTCATTAACAACAAATGTTTATTTTGATCATTTGCAAAGAGGAGGACTGTCAATTCCAACCAGTTATGTACCAATCATATTCTACCATATGTATGCCATTTTTGAATCTATTATTAATGTAGATAGATTGGAAATTTTCTTCTTGAAAAGCAATAATCAAAATTTTATTTTGTGTCAGTTAACCTTGCTCAGCATTCAGTCTGACTTTATATACAGTGAATTTTCTTTAACTTGCATCTGTGGCCGCAATTATGCAGATATTTTATCTAAGCTTTTGTCTATTTTTTCAAACATAATTTTGAATGATTATGTAAAATTGAAAAGTAACAGTAAAACTGAAAGTAAATGTATTAAAAACAAACAGGTAACTCCACATTTCCAAGCTGGGCCTGTTGGAACACAGTGTGCTGACACCAAAAAACGTAAACTAAATACTCTTAATCAGGTTAACTGCATTAGCGACTCATATATATCACGATTATTTCGTATTTTTAATTTTTTTAGAGCTATTTCATATTCAGACGATTTGTATCGAATCGAACTGTCCTCTTTTCCAAAATTAAATTTAGTTCTTGAACGTTACAAGGAGACGGAGCACACAGCCGCTGGCGGCCGACGTTCACAGGTAGCACTACCATGCCGTCCGAGCGCGGTGTTGCCTTTCTTTCATCACGGCTCGTAGTTGACGTCGGCTGTGTTGTAACATTAACTTCCCTCAGGAACGCCCTCTGTCGTCAAACACGGGTACTTATTGAATCGCCCTCGTAAGCATGTTATGCCACCTTTCACACTATTCTAATGACACACTGTGGGTAATATGAAAATGAAAAGAAAAAAAATTAAGTGACATATGGAGGACAGATGAATAAAATGTTTTGTTAAAGTCATTGTAATGAAGAAGGTCACCATTGTGACCTAAACGTTTACAATTAAGAACATTTTATCAACACGTGGTATCGCCTGGTCGGAGAAATACGGGGTATTAGCCACTGGATAAGTTACAAATGTTACACTAAAGTCCTGTTCGTACAGCGGTCGCCAACCTGTCAGTGATCGTGTCCAAGATCCCGCCCCTCAAATTCAGTTCATTCTGCTGAGCTATTTAAACGGAGCTAACTCGGCCTGATCCCAGACACAGTTGCCGAGTCACTGTACGAACAAACCATAAGAGGATGGTTTCAGACTTTCTACCACACATACATGACAGTGACTGTTTTTGGTACTAGTGCCAGCAGGAAGTCTGGTTTTATGTTGGCAAGCTTACGACGCAGCTGTACTTTCATTCTGATTTGCTTCTACTCCTACGATGCAATACTAACACGAAGCCATCAGCTTTGGCGGTGCATTCACAAGATGCTGATTTCTCCATTACTGTCACTGCCTATTACTCTTTCGATACCTGAATATCTTTCGGTAGTAATCACAATCACTTTCTATGCCAAATGTAGTGGTACTAAGACGATGCCATCAGTTTTGCCGCTGCAGTTACGTGGTGCTGATGGTGGTACGCCATCTCGCCGTTAGTTGTGCTGGTGCCCGTAGGAAACCCGAATATCTGTTGATAGGGGTACGACTGATTCTGGACACAGCTATATTCATAGCCAGGCTCACTTTTTATCCCTCCGCTGCTATTGCTGCTACTACTCGTTGCTGGTAGGAGAGACGTTTGACCTAGGTACGGTCTATCCAGCACCTGAAAGCAACAATAAAAATTTATACTCCAGACTGTTTTTAACTAGTTTCCATTGCCGTATTTTATTTGTCGATAATTGCAGTAATTTGTGTTACTCCCAAAATAGTTATAGTGCGCACTATTCGCCACTGGTCCGTCAAAAAGTATTTTTATTAAATTTGCTCACAGCTTAAGTGCGCGCGAATAAGCTTTTCTTACATCAAGCTGACCGCATAGGCAACCAGGCTTGCGCTATCATCTATGAGCTTACAGTTAAATCAAAGTTGCAGTGCTCCCATTGTTTAGTAGAAAATACCAGTACGGCATCCATTTAATATGTGTACATTACAGATTTATCTAAGAGATTTGGAACTTTAAAAATTGGTGGTCTCCGATGAAGTCACGGCAAGGATTGAGCAAACAGGCGGTTGTCATTCATGTTTAGCTAGGAAATCCTATTTTTTACTTTGATCCTGAGATTAAAATTCGTGATGTGGATTAAATTTAACCAACCAAAACGCGTTTTAGTAATGGTGGATCTGATGAATATAGTTGATTTTTTCTAAAACAACTGTCTAAAATTATGCAATTTGTATATCCATAAGTGGAATCAAGGCTTTTTCATGGATCACCTTTAGCCACAAAAACCATTATAAATGAGCGATTTTGGTCACCCTTCTTCGGTTCGACAGTAGCCTAACCTACTGTAGAAACATGTGCGAACATTTTCTAGTGTAAGATATTGGCAAAGCGGCAGATTGCACGACCTTCTGCGTCACCGTTGCTAGGCAATGTGGTGGTGACCTTCACTCTTCAGCCATCTTTTTCTAACATGTTGTGTTGATACCATCGAGATATAATAAAAGAGGAGACGAAATCACGTGACTTTGAGCGACACCGGGTACGCCATATTGATGACTGACTTCTGTCAAAGTTATGTCAAAGTGCGTTATGCGAGTTGTTTTGGATTTCGTTGCAGTTAATTGTACTTATTTTTGAAATTCAGAGGCTTTTGTGATACTGTTTGCACAAATTGAAAAATATTATTATGGTGTCTTGTGCCATACGGAGTTGTGCACGTCGGACTGAAGTGGATAGAAAGAATACAACAGGAATAACTTTCCATAGGTTAATATAAACATATTACGGAGACGTACCTAAACTGAATCCAAATTCAAGATGAGATGTAAATAATAACAGTTAGCGGGTGATCTCTCGGTAATAGGTGGGGACAACGCCTCTTATTGGTCAATTCACCATTAAATTTCAAGCGGTCGACTGGCGGTATAATGCGCGGGGCAGGGGCAGGGCAGGCAGGGTTGCACTCAGGCCACCGTCCGTCGCGTGTATCACTGCGTGCTCGTGTTTTCGTATTCACCTTGCTTGGTTGTTGCTGTTGTTGTTGTTAAGTGTATTTGAGTAATTTGTTAAGTTTCTGTTTCTGTTAAATACTGTCATCTTTGTTTTACAACACGTTGGTGGTAGTCCATCATTCGGAGGTAGCCCTGAATGCGGCCCTGTACGCCGTCCTTGCTTTTGGAAATTACGCATCCTTCTATCTTGGGTGTAAATACACTATAGGTATATATATATATATATAAATATATAGGTGAAAAATTAAAGCTTCCGCCTTTTGTTGGGTACTTCGACAAAATTTAAGCAAAGAGGACTCTTTATACTTTTTTTAATTCTCGCTAGCTTTCAATGGACTTGGCCATCATCATCAGGAGCTGCAATTACAATGATAACAGTAGCAACAAAAGTGTAAAATGAATTTAAATTGAATCAACTTACAGTAGTATGTGAGGATGTTGCTAATTATTGTTTTCGTATAGGATGAGGGAAAAGTCCAGTAACATGGTGAGAGCTGGATACATGGTACAATGGTTAAAATTATATGAAATATGACAAGACAAGTTAAAGACAGATTAAAAATTATTTAGAAAATATTAGAGCATTACGTCGTGAAGCCACTTGATGATTGCACAAAATGGTGGTCATGGAATAATGAGTGAGATAAACCTTTGACAGAAGGCCGAAGGTTGTCAATGTCTGTGTTGAAAGATGGAACGAATTGTGGGCGTGTGCCAAAACGTTGCCAATTCACTTCAGATGATGTGATTTTCAGAATGTTATGTAAGAAATTGTTAAACCGACCACAGGCAGTTGAATAAACTATATTTTTATTATATATTTAATCTTCGGCCTTCTGTCAAAGGTTCATCTCACTCATTATTCCATGACCACCATTTTGTGCAATCATCAAGTGGCTTCACGACGTAATGCTCTAATGTTTTCTAAATAATTTTTAATCTGTCTTTAACTTGTCTTGTCATATTTTATATAATTTTAACCATTGTACCATGTATCCAGCTCTCACCATGTTACTGGACGTTTCCCTCATCCTATACGAAAACAACAATTAGCAACATCCTCACATACTACTGTAAGTTGATTCAATTTAAATTCATTTTACACTTTTGTTGCTACTGTTATCATTGTAATTGCAGCTCCTGATGATGATGGCAAAGTCCATTGAAAGCTAGAGAGAATTAAAAAAAGTATAAAGAGTCCTCTTTGCTTAAATTTTGTCGAAGTACCCAACAAAAGGCGGAAGCTTTAATTTTTCACCTAACTGGTCTAGACGACAATGACCACGTCTCAAGATATATATATATATATATATATATATATATATATATAGGAAAATAATGGACAAAATCCGCAAAAAGTGGATTCGAGCAGAAAATAGGATAGGTAACCCGAGCGATACGTATTTCTGCTGGTTGGCTTCATCAGGCCCGAAATGAATGCACATATGCAACTACAAAAGTAGAGACACATGCCCATACATCCGGATACGGGTGTAACCTGAGGAAACAAAGTTGGAGAGGGGAAAAAAAGACACACGAGAAAGGTATACCTTTGCATGATAATTTGCTCTTTGTAGATCCTTTGGGCTTGAAGTACCACAGCAAGTGGCTATAACCGGCCGCGCCTTGAAAATTCGAGGTCTTCTAGCCATTTTATACTACAATGTGTAGGTTGGCTCTTATTGTGGACTTCGTGTGTCTTTTTTTCCTCTCCAACTTTGTTTCCTCAGGTTACACCCGTATCCGGATGTATGGGCATGTGTCTCTACTTTTGTAGTTGCATATGTGCATTCATTTCGGGCCTGATGAAGCCAACCAGCAGAAATACGTATCGCTCGGGTTACCTATCCTATTTTCTGCTCGAATCCACTTTTTGCGGATTTTGTCCATTATTTTCCTATTTTTGTTATATATATATATATATATATATTATTTCGGCTTTATTGTTTATTATAGAAAATCGTGTTTGCCAAAATTATTAGGCTTATTATTAATATCTCTCAGTGAAGCTGACCTAACTAACCACACTACCCGTAATCTATCTAATTTATCGAAAAAATATAAATACTAATTTATCAATTAAATTTTGTACTGCAGATCATGAGATTGTACTATTTTCGTAAAATACATGTCAAGGTGCTTGATTTTCTTAAAGAAAACTTATCTTCATGAGTTGAGCCATCTAATATTTTTATTTTGAATATATTTATTAATTGTAGATTCCCTAAAAACACTGACCGTTGCCAACTTTGGGTGAAATTTGTTAATAGGGATGGATGGACACCTCTACAAGATCTAGTGCGATTTGCTCGAAACATTTTTCTGAGGAGTCATTCGATAGAGCATCAAAATGTTATGTTAATCTCAAACCAAATGCTGTTCCGACAATACATCCAAACCAGGTAGGTATGTTAATAAAATGATGTTTAGTACCACTTAAAACATATGTTTACCAAGTTTGGTTTTCAAAAGATGCGATGTATGTATCTTGAAAAAGAAATGCCATAAGAAAAAGTATTTAAAAAAAACTCGTATTTAATCAGGAAATTAATTGCACATCTAAAAATTTGACTCCAACTGATAGTATACTATCACAACCAAAGTTGGTGAACATATGTTTTAGGAGGTCCTGAATAATAAACCACTGAAATTTTTTTCAAATATCGCTTATAGTAATTCTCGATTCTTTGCTCTTAAAACTTGAATACAGTATTGGGTCATGTCTTACATTTTCTGAATATCCGCAAACTGACATTTTTGACCATCCAACAAAAAAAAGTTTATGAAAATCGGTCAAAAAACACAAATGTTGGAGTAAGTGGGACACACTGTATATTAGATAGATTTTTTTCTAAATACATAAGTTGAGCAAATGATATAATTTACATATAGCATAAATTCAATCAAATCAAATACATACATTAAAAACAGATACGATCCTGGCAAATCCGCCATTTGTTAAGCGACTAAGCTCCACCCCCCGGTCCCATTCTCAATAGCATGATTTGTATGACAATAGCGCCTACTTTTGTATTATATCTCGATGGTTGATACGCACTTCACGCGCTTCTCTTTCATACACATTGAACTCAAGCCTTCCGACAAATTTGGCTCTTAGTGTATACAGGGTGACTTCGAAGTTGAGTCATTTATTTCAACAGTGAGTAGATCTGATCAAAAGAAATGATTTTTTCCTTTACCATTTTTCTGGTAAAATTAAAGTAACAAAGTTATAGCCCTTTGGAAGTTTGAGTACCGCCCTGTCTCAATAATAATATTATGTGCTCGTGTTTGGCGACAACGGATATAATCCGCCGTATCGGTTCATCGCATCGGAAACAAAAAAGCGAAAGAATTTGGAACGATGTTTTTACAATTATTTTATTCATTTGTATACAGTCAGTGTCAGTGAATAGTGGTGTCTGTTGCGTGGCTCAAACGAAATAAAAAATGGCACATGTTTATGCGGATCGGTTTCCCAATCGAGTGCAACCAACCCCTCGTGCCTTTGTTAATGTAGTACAACGGGCTCGTGAATCAGGTGACGGCATGCCGGTGCTCCAAGACCTCACGATCAGATACAGGTCCGCACTGAAATACTTGTCGGGAGGATACTTTATAAAACAAGGTAAAATTTTTTTTATATTTTTTTTTATTTTTACACACATATTTTGGTTTATCTTCCTTCTACAATCATTATCTGAAAATTAATGACTCAACTTCAAAGTCACCCTGTATAGCTTTTCGCCTGACTCTGTAACATCGGAGTATAACAATAGCCTAAGGGTAGACGCCCTTTGGCTAGCTGATGCTATTTTTGGTGTAATGGTTCCAGTGTTGTCTTACATTATGTGGGATACTTGTGTAGACATTTCAAAATAAGGTAACAAGCAAACAAGGAACAAGAAGCAGTGTCAGTGACAAATTGCTTTGAACAGAAAATGTAGCTGGGTAAGGAGGCGTTACTCAAATGAAAAGTACATGGAAATAAGAAATCACTGAAAATGTGGACTGAGGGAGATCCTCGTACGGTTTGTTTTATCGATTGACCCCACACCAACACGTTAGCTCCAAATCTGATCTTTAGAGGACTCTCTACCACTTCGTGAGGGTTTTCCACAGCGCAATATTGCGATTATTAAAGACACAACAATTCGTAAATCGGGATTTTCATTAGACTTCCTAGTATACCACTGACAGAAGCGCACTCTTCTTGTAGAACCAGTCTCCTGAAGACCTTGAACTATTGTACGTTTGTATGGATGGTACTTTTGTTCAACATTCTCTGTACTGTTGATTTTGACATATCAATTTCTCGTTCTGTAGTTCTCACGGATGCACTAGAGATTTCGTTGACAGCGTGTAAAACGTTTCTGTTGCGATTTCCATTTTCAGTATTGTATCCGCTTCTAGGTTGTTCGAAGGCCCCATGGTTTATTAAATCAACTACTAATTTTCTAAATTGGGTATGAGAGGAAACGTACCTACTACTTATTGAAAGACAATTTTAATACTTTGAACTATTTAACGTCAAAGTCAGAGCCTCCTTAGATGAAAAAAATGCGTTACCTATTAATTTTATTTTCTGACAAATAAACCATGATCTCTTTAGGAAAAAATTAATATCTACATAATATAACGTGTGATGATATTTCGAAGATATTTCAATCTTTTAGTGAGACGTCACTAGGCTGGAAATTTTACGCACTGTTCAAAAATCGAAAAGTCTAATATAGTAACCATAAGAAAAATGAAAGTTGAGGCAGATTGCGGCATAACAAAAGATGATTGAGTCTGTCATACATGCTCTTATTTTCCTTAAGAGAATGTCTGAACCATGTCACATTTTGACAGCTATCAAATTAACCGTTTCGAATTTATTCGACATTTTCGGTTTTCCGAGCATAAATCTGAAGCCGGCTATCGAATGTTTCCTCTAAAACTTTCCCTATTTAACATCTGCTGTATGTATAAAAGGAGCTGAGATCCCTGTTTAGAGAAGTGAATCTGGGACACACTGTATGGACAGAACTCCTGACACAATCACCGTCAAGTCGCCGACCACCGTACGAACAAACCAAATATTGAAATTGACTAGAGACGGGAATATAAAGAACTGGAATAGCCTCAATGTTTATGACTTTACTTGCCCTAAATTATATACTCACCGGTGACGATTTATCCAGCTGATGATGGTGATTATGGTTGTGACTATGATGCGACTGATTACTCGACTGCTGTTGGTTCGTATGATGCTGCTGTTGTTGCGGCTGCTGCGGTTGTTGCTGTTGCTGTTGCGACGAACTTTGATGCAGCATTGTAGGCGTTTTAGATTCTGGAGCATAAAAAGTATTTCTTCAGATATACTATACGCAATACCTATACAGTTATAACATAAAAACATGCATTAAGAATCATATTGCCACGCTTAGTAATTTAGCACGTTCCTTTCGTGAAAAGTTACAGCAGCAAATATTACCTAATTGTCTTTTATACATTTAAACAAAAAACATGCCTTTTGGCTGGAATTCCAAAAAAATTAGTGTGAAAAGATAAACGTGTGAGGGATTTCCGTATAAGACATTCTTTGGCCTGAATTTTAGATTAGGATCAAGACATCGAGATGCGCTTTTCGCGATCTTGTTTTGACATCATTTAGCTACAACATTTTCTGAGTTATCAAAAGCATTCGAACATTCGACTGTGTTCAAGCTAACAATCTCGTAAATAGAATTAAAGGCTATGGTTTTAGAAACCCGGTAGATCAATGGATTTTCTCAAATATGTAGTGCTATATTGGGAATCATCTGTTGAGAACCAATGAATCTTCATCCTTCAAAAAAGAATAATCAGCCTCTTATTCTCAATGCATCCTCATAAGTCTCGTCGAAAAACATTTAGTGATGAAAAAGTTCTAACTTTAGCATCATTATTCAGCTTAGCGAGCTTTCAAAGAAATCATATCCTTCCAAATTCACTTACCAAAAACAGTCCCAGAGATACAATCTAAGGAATAGTAACAACGTTACATTGAACAACTATAGCCTCAGCACTCACCGTAATAAATCCTACTACCTCTGTGGATCTATCTTCAATAATTTGCCCTAAGAGTTAAAAGCCATCAAGGACTTAAAAGACTTCAAGAAAGAATAATTTTTAACATACTTTTACTGTCTGTAAGATTCTTATAGTTTTTAATAATTACATATTTATCTACTTTATAATCAATAAAATAGATTATTTTGCTCATTAAACATTTATGCTGCATATTTTTTCTATTCTTCTATTTAACTATTTATATTTCTAAGCAAACATACTGTTTGTGATACTTATTTTATAACTTGTTACCTTCTATTTTATTCTAATTTAGTCATGTATGTATTACAAAATCTGACCTTTTCCTGTTGACGTTTCATAACCGCAAAGCAATTTGAAAAAAAGTTATTATCATTAGTATAACTGCTCGTACGTCATGAGGCACGTTACAGCCCTATATGTCACATGGGTAAATGAATTAATTTAACCCAGATATGCCTACAGCTCAAATAAATTATAGTAAAGTATGTTCTCTGCAAATTCATTCTATATGAAGCATATATTAAACAAATTTGTTATTTTTTAAATTTTATTTTAGGAAAAAGTGTAAAAAAATGCCGTACAAAATATGGGAAACTAGGCACATAGGCGAACATTAAGGTTTAGTATGGAAGGACAAAAAACATTTTACATGCATCCCTACATTGCACTTAGAGCACCTTGTTTTTGCTCTAGCATGACATAAGCCACATCTAGTTGGCTTTTCTTGTGGTACCGCAAAATGATCTAAACGATCATAACGAATATCTATATATTCATTAGCCGAAGGACGTCCTCTCGAAAAAGATGGCGGTTTCTTGTTTTGTTGTAACAAGGCTGTGGAAAGCCGCCGTCTAAATAATAATTGATCCATATGTCCTTCGCGCGATCTATAAAGTTGCCAGGAACTATGAACAGCCATATCAATACAGTGGCTGATCAATGAAAAATACCACTTTTTTTTATTTACATTACATTTACAAGATGAGGCTGTTCTACCTAAAATCAAAAGCATTTTTGAAAACATTGATTTTCTTGCAGATTGTGTTTCTTACCTGAATACTTTTTTTACCCTTTCAAGAGTATCGCTTTACAAAGCGAATTGGTTGAAATCCTGGTGCATTTGAACAGAGTGTTACTAAATTATTGTCATACCATTTTACTGCAATTATGTTTGTATCAGAAATTTTGTTGTAATCGTAACTACCTCTTTTTTCCCTTTTCATAATTTTAGAATCTCTGAATTGGACGCCTTGTAAACGATTTTCTCTAGGAGTACCAGTCGCAAAGAAATTTTTTTCTATCAATTTTACCATAAGAGGGAGAGAAGTGAAAAAATTGCCGAAAACTAAATTAAATTTTTCATTTGGCACTTTTATGCTCAGTGCATCAGAATACTCTAATACCACACCAGCACCAACCCCCAAATCTGCATAACTCTTACTAATGTTGGTTGACGACCCTTGGTAAGGTTCAACAAAGTAAACGTAGCCTACAGTATATTCAGATAAGAGATAGACCGGATGTAAACAGAAGGGTCGGGTGATTTTAAAACAGGAGCCCTCATTGGTCAATTCGCAATTAAATGCCTATGCCGAGCGGCAGAGCAGTCGTATCAAGGCAGAGTCACATTCAGGTTCAGACGTGTTACGTATGTCGTGTGCATCATTGCAATTTGATATTTCTTTGGACGTTTTCGTTTGTTATCTTATTAAGTTGTTGAGTTTGTCGTTGTTATTGTTATACCTTGTTATTGATTGTTATTGTTATCAACTGCTTGCGCAAAATGCCCAGTAGTACAGATACTGCCGATGAAGTTGTAAACTCCTGTAGTCCACCTAGGAAACGCTCTAAAAAAAGACACCTGAGTGCCGAAATGAAAGAGGTCATTTTGAATATATATAAGATCGAGCGCGAGGAGAACGAGGCATCAACCATCAAAGAAATTGTTGTGAAGGTTTCTCACAAAGTTGGGGTGTGTCGCGCATCAGTGTTTAATGTGTTAAGACAATACAAAAAAAATCACACCTTTTCTTAGCCAATGACCAGTAAACATCGCAAAAGTATTGTCAAATCATTGGATGAAGCTGATAAGCATGCGATTAGGAGGAAAGTGCATGAATTCTTCTTTAGGAATGAAATACCTACTATAGATAAAGTACTGCAGGAGGTAAATGGAGATACAACGTTGCCAAATTTCAAACGATCAACTTTCCATGCGTTACTGAAGCATTTAAATTTCAAATGGAAAAAACGGGGTCGTAATAGTTTACTACTGGATAGAGAAGAAATTTTGCTATGAAGGAGGGATTATTTAACAAAAATTGGGAAATGTAGAAATCAAAACAGGAAGATTTATTACCTTGATGAAACGTGGGTAAACGCAGGACACACTACAAGTAAAGTATGGGTTGATGATTCTGTAACTTCATCCAGGAGGGCCTTTCTAGATGGACTGTCCACCGGATTAAAAAATCCAGCAGGTAAATACGAGTAATAGACAACAATCGGATGTTTTTCAAACCTTGGGAACAAGGTTCTAAACATTAATTCCAGGGGGCAGATAAAGCATATTACAAGTAACAAAAGTTTTATAACTTTCGATAAAATGCGTGGATGTTTTATTGTCATTTTCATTTGTTAGAACTGTTTTAAGCCATGTTTTTATGTGTCTTCGATATTTCAATAATTTTTTAATATAATCTTAAAATACATATGTCGAATATTATAAACTTAAAAAAAGTTACTAAGTTTTATATTGTGTACCGTTCCTAATATTTCTAATCATTTTAATTCATACTTTAAGCTTTATAAAGTTATAATTTGTTAATATTAATATTTGCGCGTATTTCAGGTTCCTGATCATTCATTTTTTAAAGGTTTATAACTTTAAATTAAATTGTGAAGCGCTGAGTAATCATACGACGTTCAATATTCTTTCTTTCAATATGACTAAATAATCCCAATTATAGCAATCTGATACTCATGTCTCAATGTTTTTTCGCTGAATGTGATGAAAACATTTGAAAAAGGTTCGCTTATTGAAATAAATTTACACCAGTTAGTACTTCGATTTCCAGGTAAAGGGAAAAGGCTCATTATCTGCCATATTGGCAGTGAGGATGGATTTGTTGTTGACGGTCTGTGGTGCTTTGAGTCTAAGAAAACTGGAGATTACCACGAGGAAATGAATGGCGAATCGTTTGAACAGTGGTTTAAAAAATTTTACCGAACTTAGAGGAAAACGCAGTAATTGTGTTGGATAATGCGCCTTATCATTCTCGAAGAATGGAGAAGGTCCCAACGGCTTCAAGGAAAGTTGATGTTCAAAATTGGCTCCGCTCGAAAAATATCAACTTTGAAGAAGCAATGCTGAAAGTACAATTATTAAGAATTGTGAGGATCACAAGGCGGAATATCAAAAATACGCCATTGACGAAATGGCAGCAAGTCAAAATAAAACTGTGCTCCGTTTACCTCCATACCATTGCGAGCTCAATCCCATTGAGCTCATATGGGCAGAGGTTAAAAATTATATAGCTGAGCACAATACAACTTTTAAATTTTGTGACCTCAAAGGACTTTTCAAAGAAGCACTAGAATTAATAACAGCGCAAAAATGGGAAAACTGTATTAAGCACGTGAAAGACAAAGTTGAAAAGAGAATGTGGGAACTGGACAATATTTTAGAGGAACAAGTCGAGCCATTCATTATTGACGTTGGTGCTTCAGGCAGTAGCGATGATGAAAGCTCATCAAGCTCATCTTTCCAATAAAAGATGTCGTTCATCAAATTCGGTAAGTTATAAGTAATTATAAAGCTACTGTATTTTTTAATTAATTATTTACATTTTTGAACCCATTTTGGCAAAACCTATTCAAGAATCTACTTTCTGACAATGTTCAACCATGCACATTTTTTTACGTTTTGAACGTTTTAATTTGGTTACATATTTACCTAGAAATCAAAAAATATACTAATCAATATTCTAAAAGCAATTTTAAGAGATATACGATTATTTTTAATCTAGGCTAATTTAAACGCCATTTTGAGAGTATATTTGACTGTATTTCACTAAACATCAGGCGGCATCCGAAGCTGGTAATCGAAGCGAAAATTTTGAAACCCTTATGTATATTTACATCATTATATGTTTCTTACCCCACCCCCACATGATCCTATATCCATGACCAATCGTAAGCACGTCGAATTGTGCTAATTTACTACAAAGTTACGCAAAGCAGCATCTACTATCTAAAATATGTACTGCGTGACTCTTAATACGTCCCTGCCGAATGTTACAGCGTTCGATGATCACGTGGTCTTGTTTATGTCCGGTCTATCTCTTATCTGAATATACTGTAATTATGTCGAAATGATGAAGAAAACACACTAGCGGCTACATGTGAAACTAACAAAACTTCCAATATCACAACATTTGTATCCCAACAATAGCTCTTTTCAACTATACTAAGTGACATATAAATCCGAACACCCAGTTTAAATGGTTTTATTTTAATAAAAGTTGGTGAATGTGAATGTATTTATCTTACTGTAAATAACAAGTGAAAAAATGTTCAGCCTTATCAGTTGGACATTCCGGTTTTTATACTGCTTTTTTTTTAATTCACTCACGCTCTAAAAATGAATATTTCAGCCGCAGTAAAGAATCAACGTTGGCGGATTTTGGTTCTTGACATCCTTTACGATCGGTTACGATGCCTAGCGTACAGAGACCTGTACGATTTCGTCAACTTAGTGAGTTTGATAGGGGCTGTATAGTGGGACTTCGGGAAGCTGGACTTTCTTTTCGGGCAATTGCAGTTAGAGTGCAAAGAAGTGTAGACACTGTGGTTATGTGTTGTGAGGCATGGCTTCGAGAAGGCCGTACGCAAAGAGCAAGGGGCACTGGACGCCGCCGTAGAACAACAGACCGTGAAGATCGCCGCCTAAGATTATTGGCCTTAAAGGACCGTTTCTCCACTACCAGGTCCATTACAAATGAATGGTTTGCAGAACACGGAAGACCTATTGGCATGCGAAGTGTTTACCGACGAATGAGAAGTTTTGCCTTGTTTTCATACCGGCCAGACTGGGTCCTCCCTTTAACTCGAGAACACCGACGTAAACGCCTTGAGTGGTGCAGACAACGGTCACTCTGGGATCAGGAATGGAACAGTATTGTCTTTAGTGACGAGTCTCGATTTTGATTAGGCATGCACGATGGTCGTGCCAGGGTTAGAAGGCGACGTGTTGAAAGGAGGAATCCACAGTTTTTTGTTGAAAGACATGTTCATCACACTGTTGGAGTTATGGTTTGGGGTGCTGTAGCTTATGGTTCCAGGTCACCTTTAATCTTCATCAGAGGTAACATGAACGCGCAGCGTTATATCCACGAAGTTCTAGAACCCCATCTTTTACCCTATCTTGACACCCTGGCAGATCCAACTTTCCAACAAGATAATGCCCGACCACATGTTGCAAGAGTCACAATAGACTTCTTTCAACATAATGATGTCACATTGTTACCATGGCCACCAAGATCTCCCGACTTATCCCCAATTGAGCACGTGTGGGATATGATGGGTAGGAGATTGCTCAATTTGCAACGTCCTCCTCAGACTCTAGAAGCACTTCGAGAGGAGTTGGTGGTTGCCTGGAATGAGATACCACAGGAGGACATTGACCACCTGATCAGAAGCATGCCTAGGCGCGTTGTAGAATGCGTAGCACATCAGGGTGCATCCACACATTATTATAGGTCAAAGGGCTTTAAAGCAGTGCAATCATTTTGAAATTTTTATCATTTACTTATTATGCTTCATTAAGTACTTATACAAAATTTTATTAAAATAAAACCATTTAAACTGGGTGCTCGGATTTATATGTCACTTAGTATAGTTCAAGTTTGTTAATATCGGCTAAGCCGTTTCGAAAGTACAGGGTGTTCTTTACAGAAACCTTTGAATATCCCCCATCACTTTATTTTTTGAGATTCAGCAAAAATTGTCAAACAACAAAGTACACATTATCATATCAATAAAAATCAAATATAGGTAGCTTTTTGTTGGCTGGTAGCCCATTTCAGCAAAATGCTAGTTGGGTGATTGCTGCATAGTGCGGCCACAAAAATCCTTGAAAAAACAGAAAGCCGCTGCTAAAATTAGACTCAACGGCTTACATGATGCTCTGATAATGAACAAATATGTTTAAATGTTTGGTGCTACCATGAATATTTACAAATAGTGTCATGGAGAGTGAAATTGGCAACACTGTTGCTACCAGGTGGCATAACTTGCTGTTTGTTCTTCCTATTGGCATATAGAACTCCTCACAATTAGTTATTTTCGGAAACATTTTATCACATCCATCTCCATTTGCAGCTTACCTAAACTTTGGCGCCCAGTTTAGGAACACTATTTAAAGAATCCGGCATACCATCCAATCACAACGACGATGCTCCTACTCACCTTCGCTATGGGCGGAGTCTTCCCTCCCACCACCGCCGGCCGCCACCGCGTCCCCACCGCTGGTGCTACCTGATGGAGGTTTCTTGGGTTTCCGCTTTCTGGTCTGGATGCCGTCCTTGCGCATCGCTAAAGGTCGGTTCACGCCGTGCAGCTTGAAGTAGAGTCCGCACGCGTTGCACACCGGCTCGCCGTCATTGTTGCGTCGCCATAGCGTCGTGGTGCGGGTGCCGCAATTCGTGCAGCACAGTCCCAAGCGTCTCGTGGCCGTCTGTGGCAGCGGAAACGGCTATCAAGCACGGTTGCATAATAAGGATACAATGTCGGGTCTAATTCATATTCAGCGATATTCGCTGAATGGAGCAACTATGCATATATACATTTTGACAGATTTGATGTTCGAAATTGAGCGGCTTCGGTAAGGTATACATTGTGATTCATAAGTCGTGACTAAAAATGAAAATTCATACAAAGGACTGCATTTTATGCAACATTTTTTCCTCGAGGCTTCATAAAAAAACAGTGGGGAACTATTTCTTATTTGGAAAGATAATGCCATTAATCCCCTTTATCTGCGCCACTGCTGCACTTTAATTCTAAGTTAAGACCTTTGAATCTGGACAATACTTAGGTAAACCCACATATACCATATTTTAGTTATTCCCAGTTGACAGTTTCGAAGATATTAAAAAAAAATGTTTTTTATTTTTAAACTCCGTATCTTTTCGTATGATGTTTCATTTTTGGTCACGACTTGTGTCGTAAAAAGGTTGCTTTGGACACTAAAGGATACCTTATACCACAGAAAGAAGGTGTTTGCGTTCTTGTTAGTGTGTTAAAGCCGTTTCTCCAAAAATGCACCAGTCTCCAGTAAATGAACAGTTTGAGCTTAATAATTCACCAGCAGTTAAACACCTTGGTATTTCTTGATATTTTTAGATTTGTTTAAATTTTCCACGTTGCCTTTAGACTAGAATATCAGGGTGTTAATCAAGTATGTACTGTAAATTTGACAGTCCATTGTTTCGAGTGATTTTAAGACAAAAAGTTCTTCACATAGGTCCACAAATTCTTCGTTCAAAAGACACAAAATGTTAATTTAAAAAAAAATAGTTTTTCGGAAATATCTAATATCCTTTACCTAATTTTGTTGGAATTTGGCGGTGGTATTTATAACGTTAAGTAGCTAATTCAGCCCTAACTTGTTCAAATTTATTGAGTAAAGTGGCGTCTCAAGCGGGATCTGAATGAATATTTGTGACAAAAGAATATGTGTCACTGACTTTGTGCAGTTTTTATTTTGTTCTTTGGATTAAACAAATAGAAATATAACCTTTTCATGTCTTGATTTTTTTTTTCGAATCTTACTTAGTTTTCGAGGATAAAAGTTCACTCAATTGCATATCACTGGACTACACCAGGAATGAGAAAAGTTTCTTTTGGAAATTAGTAAAATTCATTACCATAGATGTTTATGTAGTGTAATCTAATTTAGTGTTTATTTGTTGTTGTTACATAATTAGTAATAAAAAATTATAAGAAAAAATAATTTCCAAAATAAACTCTTCCCCATATTCCTTGTGTGGTTCAGGGATATGCAATTAAGTGGACTTTTTTTCTCTCGAAAGCTAACTATGATACGAAAAAATTCATGTGAAAAAATGTTGTATTTCTATTTGCTTAATCCAAAAAACATTATAAAAATTGCTCAACAGTCTGTGGTGTATATATGTATATATTCTTATTTTTGTTACAAAAATTCGTTCAGATCCCACTCGAGACGCTACTGGACTTGATTAATCTGATCAAGTTAAGGCTAAATTAGCTCCTTAATATTATAAATACCACCGCCATATAACAACAAAATTAAGTGAAGAATATTTAAGAAATTCAAGAAAAAACTTTTTTTTTTAAATTCAACACCCTGTATCTTGAGAACGAAGAGTTTGCGGACTATGTCCATATGAGCTTTAGGTCTTGAAATTATTCAAAGAATCGTCTATTAAATTTATGGTACTTAATTGCCACCCTGTATAATGAAAATTACAATAAAATATTCATTTAACGAATTCAACTAAATGTGACCTAATAAATTCAGCATTCGGATAGAGGATCTTCGTAGACTTTCTTGTTATAATAGTTCGTGCTCTAGGAACATACTCGGCATGTTTTTAACCACTTCAGGATGATGACCAAGGAGCAAAGTCAATCATTCCTTTTCGGGACTATCATCCTGAAAGGACTGGGTCGCGGGTATTGCTTTAAGACGTTCTGAGTAAGATCCTTTAAGACTTCGCCTTCAGGAAAAAGAAACATAGACAGCTAATATTGAGAAGCCAGCGAAAAGTGGTGCTGCGGGTGGTATGCGCTTACAGTACGGTTTCGACCGTAAACTACTTGGTGGTAGCGGGTATCCCACCAATTGATTTGCTGGCTGCGGAGAGATGTGCGCTCTATGAAAACAGCGTCGAAGCTACGAGCAACGGAAAAAGGCGCTTTTATCAGATGGCAGGAGAGATGGGATGCAACTGGCCATGGTGCACGGACCAGAAGGCTGATCCCAGATATTAAAACTTCGATTGACAAGAGAACGGTTTCCCCTGTAAGAAAACCTCAATCCTCTCCCCACCCTTCAATTCGGCAAAGTAGGGTACCGGATTTCGTTCTGTCCTTGGACGTCTTCAGACGCTGGCCCATATCGTGTTTGCCCAGTTGAAAATAGAATGACGACAGAACGTATGTATATGGTCGAATAACCTCACTTATAATACAGGTTGCGGGAGAGAGGACGGACGTTTTTGGGATGGGTAGTACACTGCGCCTCCGTCTACGAGAGAGGTGGGGAGGGTGCTGTTTGACTCGTGAGATCCTAGTATTATTTTACCAGTTGTCGTTATGGAGCCTTGGACGGTGGAGGCACCGCGTTTTCGCCTATGATTGTTTCGTCCGAAATAATGAGTCAGTCATCGTCGTACAGCGTCAGTTTCGTCGCCACTTCAACATTCATCGGAAAAGAGCTGTTCCCTCTCGAAACACCATCCTTCGTTGGGTTGAATCACTTCGCAGGCGTGGTGAACTGATCAACAGAAGACCAAGAGGAGCGCCGCGAACAGTTCGAACTCCTGAAAATGTTGAACGCGTTCGACAGGTCTTTCTTCGCAGTCCGACTCGATCTGCCCGGAAACATCCTGCTGCACTTCGCCTTAGTGATCGTTCGGTAAGGCGAATTTTGCATATGGATCTCCGCTTTCACCCCTACAAATTGGCCATTGTGCAACAGTTACAGCCCGGAGATTATGCACAACGAATGAACTTCGCACGTGAGATGGAAGCACTGATCGATCAAAATGAGAACCTCATTTTGTTTATGAGTGACGAAGCCCACTTTCACCTAAACAGCATGGTTAACCAGCAGAATTGTCGTTATTGGGCTAATGAAAATCCGCAACAGTTACACGAAAGACCGCTGCACAGCCCAAAAGTAACGGTTTGGAGCGCTGTATCGCAAACTTGCATCATTGGCCCTTACTTCTTCGAAGACAGTAATGGTCGTGATGTTACCGTGAACTCAGAGCGCTACGTCGACATGATCACCGACTCATTTCACCCTGAATTACGACGGGGACGTGTTCCAATCCGACGTGTGTGGTTCCAGCAGGATGGGGCGACCGCCCACACAGCCCGAGCATCCATGGACGTTATTCGCCCTCTCTTCCCTGGTCGCCTTATTTCCAGGTTTGGCGATGTTCATTGGCCTCCTCCGTCCCCAGATTTATCCATATGCGATTTTTTCTTATGGGGACACCTCAAGGCTAGAGTATACGCGAACAAGCCTGTCTGGACGAATTGAAGGGCGAAATTCGCGTGGAAGTCGCCCAAGTTGAAAGAGCGATGTTGGAGAGAGTCTACGCGAACTTCCAAGAACGCCTCCAGCACTGCATCAACGATTTCGGCCACCACATGTGTGATGTGATGTTCCACACTTGGCTGTCTCAAATGCTATTTCCTTGTGAACCTGATTCCATCAATAAATTTGTTTTCGAGTAAAAATTAACTATTTTATGATTTTTTTAAAACCGTCCATCCTCTCTTACCAGGTTTTATAAGAAGGAGTACAGAAAATAATTATTTACTCTTTTAACTTTCTACGGAGTATAGATAAATGATACGATGATATGATACCAAACTCACCAGTCTTTTAGAAGGTTTTATTAAAGGCCTGTTCATGCCGTTCATTTTGTGATACAGTCCACAAGCGTTACAAAGGTAATGTCCGGTACCATCTCGCCTCCACAGAGGAGTAGATATCGCTCCACAATTTACACATTCTCGTCCTTCTCCAAACTGAAAATCCATTCCTGCATCTGAAAAGAAAACGATATGCTTATGTTGTTGTGATCATTATGAAAGAATGATCCTTTCTATTACATAAAAATTAGGAGGAAGGTTGAGTACCTTAAATAAGGTAAGGTCTTAAATGACTTCTTTAATAATAATGATAATAATAATAATATTTGTACGCCCAAAATACAAAAAATGGGCAAACAAATATGAAAAAACCACATAAGGCATCGCCTGTGTGTGGATTACATCTTAATAACTAACAATCAATCATATATCTATAACAATTATTGTTAATTCTACAAAGTATTAATATAATTGGAATTGGATTTCTATATAATTATGTAAAGTCATTCGCTGCACAGTACAATTTTCGTCTAAATATTTTTCCAAAATTAAGTATTTTTATTTCGTTTGGTACTACACTATATAATTTAGCTGCTAAGAACTTGAACGATTTTTTGATTAATGTTTTGTGTGGTCTTTGGATATTAGATGAGCCTATTCGAAATCCTGTGTTATGCTCGTTTTTTTAGGATTTTTTTTCATTACAATACTAAGTATAATGTGGTGGCATGTAAGAAATAAAGTTGTCTTGTATCAAGTATCCCTGTTTCCTGTTATAAGTTGTTCGTCTGATATAATCTTAGGTTATGGAAAATGGCTTTCAAAACAGTTTTTTGTGCTATATACAGGTCAGAAACATATGTCTTGCAGGCGGCACCCCAGGCTGTGATGCCGTATATTATATGGGTTTCAACTAAGGCATAGGATTCGCAGGTAACTTTCTGTAAGAATGTTAGCAAGCATTTTGAGTTTATGGACAACACTTCTAATTTTTTTGATAACATATTTAATATGGTCCATAAATATTCCAAGATATTTCAAAGTGTTAACTCTATCGATTTTTGTTTTCTGGCCATGATAATTAACGGAAACTTGTGTGAAGGTAGGTAAAAATTTTGAATAGAATAGAATTTTGTTTTTTTGAAGTTAACTGTTAAAATTTTAGTATCAAACCAGTCGATGATCTTTATAAAATTCTTTTCAGCTATTTGCATCAGTGTGCTCCAGTCATCGGCTTAATATAATATGAGGATGTCCTCTTCAAAACATATAATCTTTCCAGTACTGTTAATTTTGAATAAGTCATTTAAATGAAGACTAAATAATAGTGGGCCTAGTACTGTTCCTTGAGGCACACCACACTTGATGTACATTTTTTTACTGTAAGTGTTAGTGATTTTGAAAGTCTGTGTCCGACTTGAAAGGTAATTTTTTAACAGGATTTGTGACGTTCCTCTAAATCCCAATCTTTCCATAACTTTCATGGTTAACCGTATCAAAGGCATTTTTTAGATTAACAAAGATACCAATAGTATGTATTTTTTTGTTGACATTAGAGTTAATTTCATCCATTGCAGCCAAAATTGCATCTGTACTCGTAGTAGATTTTCCTTTTCTAAATCCATATTGGTCAGAACATATAATTTTGTTTTTGTCCAAAAATTGTAATATCCTTTCTTGTAGTAATTTTTCGAAAATTTCGGCTATATTCAATAGTACTGATGTGGGTATATAATTTGATGTTTCCATTCTGTCACCGCTCTTATAAACAGGAGTAATAACTGTTGTTTTAAATGCCTCAGGACAAATTCCAGATTGGAAACACCAATTATGACGTTGGAAAGTGGTTCGGCTAAGTCGTAGGCTATTATTTTTAAATGCTCAGCTTTGATGCCATCTACAGCAGGACTTTTTTGGTTTTAAGTGATAGGACAGCTTATTGTACTTCTATCGGACTAACATTTTCTAAAAAGAATGAATTGGGAACGTGGGTTTTTGGGAACATGTCGTTCAAAACATTTTTTTTTATCCTGGCTGCTAAAGTTTCTCCAACATTTGTGAAAAAATTTATAAATGCATCGGATATTTGTCATTTATCGGTAATATTGTTCCATCACGATTCTTAATTTCATCAATATTTGGTTTCTCTTGAATGTCTTCGTTAGTTAAGTGATCGACAACCGACCACAGTTTTCTTGGATCACATTTGGTATCGTCTAATTTTTTTAGATAAAATTGGCGGTTTGCTTCTCTAAGCAGATAAAAATACTTTTATATTAATTATATTTTGAATTGAATGATTATTTAAAGCAAGATTATTTTATATATACCTACCTATGTCGGGGAGTCCCCAAAAAATGAAAGTTCTTTATTCAAACGTATACCATCTAATTTTGTTTGGACAATGTCAAATCAATTGTAAATAAAGTTTTATGTAACGGGGTAACCCGTGCCGAGTTGCGTTGGAACATGTCAAAACTTGCATATCAGGTGCTCGTTAGCTAACGTATTGCAGTGCTCGTTTGTTCTATTACTAAAAGCACTCTTTTCATTCAGTCAACATGTTGAATGGATTACGCAGCTGTAAAAAGGAAATATTTTTATAGGGGACGAAAAGCATCAAATTATCGGTTCAAAACTTCTCTCTAATCGACAAGTACTAGCAGTTTTGTTCTATAATATCCGGGAAATGAAATTAAGCACCAATTATTTTTTACAATGCTTCAACCTCGATCCACAAAATTGCTACCATATGATGAATTTAAAAGACATATGAAGAAATTTATTTTGAATAGAAGTATATAAATCAGTTGATAAAATTTATCTGTTACGTCACACAAAAATATTTCCAATATAGCATTCCTTTGTCTTGTATAACTGTTACAATTTTCTACTTTTAAATCATAAAATATTGAATAGCCTTCACTTATACAGGGTGTCCGCAAAGTTGGGGTTTTCCTTTACACGACGTGTAGATCTTGAAAACATAAGCAATTTTTCTTAGTACCATATACACCAATGTCTTAAGGGAATCGAGATAAAGGGCTCTGCAATATCAAAAATATCTGAATACCACTGTGCCAGTTCAGTATGCAACCTTCAACCGACGGTGCAAGTATCAAAAACTAAAGTGTGGCAAACGCTGCGTGAAGAGGGGCTGTATCCGTTTCACGTCCAACGTGTACAAGCCCTTCAACCTGACGATTTTCCAGCAAGAGTGCGGTTTTGTGAGTGGTTGTTGCATCAACATGACAATAATCCGGACTTTCTGAAGTGCATATTGGTGACAGACGAATCTACGTTCACGAGTAATGGGGTGAATAACTTTCGCAACACTCATGTTTGGTCAGTAGAAAATGCGCAAGCTGTCCGTCGGGCACATTTTCAACAAACATTTTCGGTGAATGTTTGGGCTGGAATGGTGAACCTAGAGCTAGACTTTTTACGCAACATTTTGCCTTCCTTGTTTGCCTGCGTCTGCTCGGTAGCGCATCAGCTGATTTCATTTTCTGTTGGAGCGGTATGATTTCGGGCAGAGACGTACTTAGCCCTTCTCGTCAACTGGAGAGTGTGTACTTTTTCCTTTATTTTTTTTTTACTTGGTCGCCCTCGTTTCACTACACATTACCTTTGTTATTTCAAGGGTAGTTGTTTCTGAAAAGGAAAACCCCAACTTTGCGGACACCCTGTATAACTGTTTGTAAAGTGACTACAAAGAATATAGCCTAACCAACTTTAAAAAAAATTTAAAGATGAGCGTAAAGCAATCGGATGGCTAGAATTTAACTTTACGCATATTCACAGGTAACTGATTGTTTCATTTTCTGAGAAGTGTAATATTTTAAGCTTTTCTTTCTTGCTTCTGTGGTCTATGTTGCGGACTGTGCCATTTAAATTTAGGTACTTTTTTTTTCTTTATAGTCTGTGTCAATGTTTTTTAGGTCGGGTTGAAAACAGCATAAGCTGACACTCCACCTTTTCGTCACTATATAGGCCGTATATTATTATTATTATAACAGTGCATTTAATTTTTTTTGAGAAAATTAACTATTACACAAGCTTATAGCCTAGGTGTCTATTCTTTTGTAGTAAATAAATAAATACTAATTACTGTCGAAATGTCGAAAAAAGCCCTCTAGCGGCTGCATGTGAAACTAACAAATATTGTAGCAATTGTAGCCCAGGAATAGCTCATTTCAACTAGCCCAATTTTGCTGAGATTGACTCAACCGTTTCGAAGATACGGAAACCTTTGGATACGCCTCACCATGTTATTGTTAGAGATACAGCAAAAATTGACAAACAAAAATTTTCAGATTGTCCTCGAATTTGGAGATCGGGTATTTTTTTTTGTTAGGTCAATATACCGGAATTCACAGAAAAATCGCTTTTTCTGATTCAGGATTGCAGTTTCAGAAACTTGAAAATATTTTTTCAGGTTTTTCTTTTAGTCGTTTTAGTAATAACTTCCTTTGCCGCAAACCTGTACGACGAATAGGTTCCCAGATACAGTACCTCGCATCCTTAGTAGGCCACCCTGTACAATCGGTAGGGTATAATGGAATGCTGAAGTATGAAACTATTGACGAAGACCAAGAAAGCAGAAACTGAGCGAATAATAAGTCAAAAAACTCCATCTAAAACACAGCAGTACAATTTATTTGTCAAGTGTGGCTTATACATGATTGATTGGGTCGTCATAATTTGAATGTTGTGTTCGACTTCCGTTACTTAGGCCGAAATGGAATCACATTTATAAAACGTTTGAAATAGGTAATCGATCTGGTTTAAAGTGAAAGAAAGTAGACCGTTAGTGAAACATGTGGCAAGCGATTTTTTCTGAATGTGGTACGATTTTCGTAATAACGGAGAAGTACATCGTGATGAAGATAAACGTTTATATCTTTGTATGCAGTTTAAGTGAGAGCAAAATTTCCAATTTATAATGGACATAAAGTTAGTGTTAATCTGTAGCCTAACAGCTGTTGCAGGAAAGCTTTACATTAGAAATGGATGAAACATGGAGAAAAAGTAATGGAAGCACTGAATAGATGCATTAGTTTTTCACAACGCTAAAAGTAGTTTCAACCATTTGCTT